AACAAAACACTACTTATTCCATTGCCCAGGAGCCCAGGTGGCATTACATGATATATATTAGGCTATTAACCAAAAAGTCGGGAGTTCAAGCCCCCCAGTTGCTCTGTGGGAGAAAGCAAGCCAGTCTTCTCAAAAATCCAATAAAGGGTCATTGTGAAGAGAAAACAGACTTGGTGGCAGATAGTTTATCCCGTGCGGCAAACATCATGAAGAACCTACTGTGTGCTCGCACTGGGGAAAAGGGTGTGAAAAGAAATCCGAGCCTTCAGGAGCTGAAGAGCAGAGGATGTGACAGCCAGCCCATCAGCTCTACAGAAGAAAAGAAGTCCAAGCCTTCAGGAGCTGAAGAGCAGAGGATGTGACAGCCAGCCTATCAGCTCCATGGGAGTTGAGGGAGGGAAAGAGGGAGCCAGGGGAACAGTCAGAGGAAGAGCAGCCCAGGCCGAGGGAGAAGCAGGTGCAAAGGCCCTGAGGTAGGTCCTGTCTGAGGACCAGGAGGAGCCCAGTGTGACTGGAGGGGAAAGAAGGTCTACAAGGGTGTTGGGGTTAAAGTCGACAGGTATCAGGTGGGAGGGAGCAGACCACGAGTTGGCTGTGTTCGACCTAGCTCACCTTGACCATGATCTCTACTCGACTGTGAGAGAACTTCTCAATCACTGACTCAATCCAGATCAGCGGCTTAACCTACGGACAGAAGAAGGGGGGTGTGGGGGGGGTTTCTCAGAGGCTCTGGCCCCACCTTGGCCACCCCTCAGGGCTGGGGTGTGAGCTGGCCTCACCTGAGTGCTGAGGCGGTAAGACATGAGCTCGAAGTCACCGTCGGGCGGGATGAAGGAGATGGTACGGTCGTTGTCGAAGCGGGAGAGCCGCACACACTGGTGGAACTTGACGTCCTCCAGCTCCACCGACTTGTTCTTGCTGCCTGAAACTCGGAGCGGAGCGCCAGGGTCACGCTGGGGCCTGGGCCCGGGGCCACCACACACCCATTTACTGAGCACCTACTGAGTGCCTGTGCTGGGCCAGGGCTGCGGAGGATGCCAGGGGCCCCTCCTGCCCAGCGTGCCCCAGCTGGCCCAGGCTGGAGCAGGGATTTGAACCCAGGAACCTAGCTCCCATCATTAGGCATTTTGACCCAGCTATCCCGCTTCCTTCTCTCACCAGGTCAATTCTCTGAAGGCAGGGACACTACTGCGTCTCCAGTGCCTAGAGCATCCCACCCAAGCCAAGCCCACCAAGGCGATTCTGACTCACGGCGACCCCAGAGGAGGCCCACAGGGTTCCAAAAGCTAAAACTAATATTCCTTCTAAACGTCATTTCTTTTGCTTCTGCTGTTACTGAGAATATCTTCTGGGAGTGGCATCCACTTCCTAAACAACATGCCTCCGGAAACTGTATGAACTTTGATAAATGTCGATAGTTGTGTAGAAAGTCTTCAGGCCTTTTGTTTATAGGGTCGCTATGAGCTGCGCTCGACTCGAAGGCAATCAACAACAACAACAACTTGTTATGTACGGTCGAGTCAGAACCAACTCCTAGCTGAGGCTCCAACGGACTCCCAGAGGCTGTAAATCACATGGGAGGAGATTATCCATGTTTTTTTCTGCAGACAGCTGGTAGATTTGAACTGTGTACCTTTAGGTTGGCAGCCAGAGTCCTCTTTGGAGGCAAAGATGATAAGACTTTGCCTCACATACTTCAGGCACGTTGCTAGGGAGGGGCTATTCCTTGGAGACGGAAATGATGCTTGGAAAGGTGGAGGGAAGGCAAAGGAGAGAAAGACGCTCGACCAGGTGGATCAACACGGTGACGGTGACGGCTGCAATGGGCTCTGATGTGTCAGGAAGGGCGAGGATGGCGCAGGATAGGACAGGGTTCAGCTCTGTTGTTCACAGGGTTGCTATGAGTCGCACTTGACTTCATGGCACCTAACCACCACCACCACCACCACCGTTGGGTTGACAGTGCAGCTTCTTACCACTAGAGCACCAGAGTCCCCCAGACACCAGCACATAGACCAAGCCAACCATGTACTAACAGACTCTGTGGGGTGCAACCATTCTCACCTCCGTTTTCTGAGTTGTTCCTCCCCCATAAACTTAAGTTCACTGTCCCCTCAGCTTCTTTTCTCATCTCTCCAGTTGTCCTTGTCACTTTGATCTCACGTAGACAGATCTTAAACAAAATTCCTAAGGCTGCTAGCTAAGCTATCGTTCCGTTTTAAGATGACTTCAGGGGCTATTTTTGGTTTAGGGATTAAGGATTATCTCAGGGCAATACATTTCAGGGGTTGCAGCTGCAAATCGTTCTGGAAAGTCACTGCCTCATCTTTCTTCTGTGGAAGGGTTGTGTTTGAACTGCGGACGTTACAGTTGGTGGCCAAGTTCATGAAGCACTGAGCCAGCAGGGTGCCTCACACCTGACGTCTTTGCGGTGGCTGTTAGGGGCTGTTGAGCCAGCTCTGACTCGGCAATCCCACGCATCCTGCATCACCTTCGCCATCTCTGCTGTCCTTCAGCAAGTTCATTGTCACGGTCATTGTATCAATCCATCTTGCCAAGGTTTCCTCTCTCACTGACCTTCCACCCAAAGCATCGCTGTTACATCGCAGAGTCAGAACTGACTCAAAGCTGACCCTCCAGGGGGTTTTCAGAGGCAGTAAATCCCACAGGAATTTCCCCATCTTACTCCCCGACAGCAGCCGGTGGATTCGAACCGTCTGCTTTCAGGTTGGCAGCACAGCTCCTTACCGCTAGACGACAAGAGCTCTCTTACAAATTGCTATTGTCGTTGTTACGTGCTGTGGAGTCACATATGACTCACAGACATAAGACCCTACGGACAACAGGTAGCAACCCTGTCCTATCCAGCGCCACCCTCATCATCTCTGACACATCTGAGCCATTGTAGCAGTCACTGTGTCAATCTGGCTCGTTGAGGGTCTTCCTCTCATTAGCTGACCCTCCATTATTCCAAACATGACATCCCTCTCCAAGGAACAGCCTCTCTTAACAACATGCCCAAAGTATGTGAGACAAAGCTTTGTCATTCTTGCCTCCAAGAAGTGCTTTACCCTTACAAGGGTTGTTGTTCTTATTGTTGTGTGACATC